GGGTTTCACCATGTTGACCAGGATGGTCTTGATCTCTTGACCTCGTGATCCACCCGCCTCGGCCTCCCAAAGTGCTGGGATTACAGGCTTGAGCCACTGCGCCCGGCCAACTGCTAATCTTTTTCTGTCTCTAGATTTGCCTGTTCTGGACATTTCATATAAATGGTATCATATAATGTGATTTTTTTTGTGTCTGGCTTCTATTGCTTAGGATGTATTTTCAGGATTTATGTTGTAGTTTCATATTTCTTTTTATTGCCAAATACCCCTTTCATCAGTTGAAGGACATTTATGTTTCCACTTTTTGGCTGTTCTGAACATTTTACCAACTCCTTCAAGCTTTGCTTGTATTCAAGACTCTTCTGGTGGAATATATAAAAAGAAAAAATAACAACAAAAAATAATGGCCTAAGCACAGTGGCTCCTGCCTGTAATCCCAGAACTTTGGGAGGCTTAAGTGGGCAGATCACGAGGTTAGGAGTTCGAGACCAGCCTGACCAACATGATGAAACTCCATCTGTACTAGAAATATAAAAATTAGCCAGGCATGGTGGTATGCACCTGTAATGCAATCCCAGCTACTTGGGAAGCTCAGGCAGGAGAATTGCTCGAACCCGGGAGGTGGAGGTTGCAGTAAGCCGAGATCGTGCCACTGCACTCCAGCCTGGGCGACAGAGCAAGACTGTGTCTCAACAACAAAAAATAAAAAATAAAACAAAATAAAATAATGAAAGCTATGCTGATGCCTTCAAAACAAGTAGTTTCTTTCCTGATGTGTACTTTACTTTTGTATATTTTTTAGTATTGATAGTGCACTCACCATGCTGTATTATAACTAGTTTAAACTATCCGCTCATGGATTAGCTCTCCCTTTCTCCTCTATATTCAGATGTAACATTTGAGGCCAATTCTTGAGTTTTGCCTGTGTGTTCCCAGTTTCTTCTATATTGCCTCACATATGGTAAGTGCTCAGAAAATCTATGTTGATGACAGGAAAATAACAAACTTCATTCTTTTTTTTTTTTTTGAGATGGAGTCTCTGTTGCCCAGGCTGGAGTGTAGTGGTGTGATCTCTGCTCACTGTAACCTCTGCATCCCAGGTTCAAGCAATTCTCCTGTCTCAGCCTCCTGAGTAGCTGGGATTACAGGTGGGCGCCACCATGCCTGGCTATTTTTTTTTTGTATTTTTAGTAGAGACAGAGTTTCACCATGTTGGCCAGCCTGGTTTTGAACTCCTGACCTCAGGTGATCCACCCGCCTCAGCCCCACAAAGTGTTGGGATTACAGGTGTGAACCACTGCACCTGGCCAACAAACTTCATTCTAATACATTTCTAGGGTGTGCAGTTCTAACAGAGCTATAACCAGACTTTTTATAACTTGGTCATATTGACTGTTTATTTGGAATACAGTCTGTTAGTTGCTTTTTAAAAATTTTCTTCATGTGAATGCCAGGTCATATGTTAGTTCAGTTATTTATTTATTTATTATTTTGAGACAGAGTCTCACTCTGTTGCTCAGGCTGGAATGCAGTGGCGAGGTCTCAGCTCACTGCAACCTCCTCCACCTCCCAGGTTCAAGCAATCCTTTCTCCTCAGCCTCCTGAGCAGCTGGGACTGTAGGCACATGCCCCTATACCTGGGTAATTTTTGTATTTTTAGTAGAGACGGGGTTTCACTATGGGAGGCCGAGGCAGGTGGATCACCTGAGGTCAGGAGTTTGTGACCAGCCTAGCCAACATGGCAAAACCCCAGCTCTACCAAAAATACAAAAATTAGCCAGGTATGGTGGCACGTGCCTGTAGTTCCAGCTACTTGGGAGGCTGAGGCAGGAGAATCACTTGAACCCAGAAGGTGGAGGTTGCAGTGCTTCTGCCTCGGAGACAGAGCGAGATTCTGTCTCAAAACAAAACAAAACAAAACAAACAAAAAAGAGCAGATGTGGTGGCTCATGCCTGTAATCCCAGCACTTTGGGAGGCTGAGGCAGGTAGATCACTTGATGTCAGGAGTTCAAGACCAGCATGGCCAAAATGGTGAAACTCCGTCTCTACTAAAAATACAAAATTAGCTGGGTGTGGTGGTGTGTGCTTGTAATTCCAGCTACTTGGGAGGCTGAGGCAGGAGAATCGCTTGAACCCGGGAGGTGGAGGTTGCAGTGAGCCGACGTTGCATCACTGTACTACAG